ATGGATGATGCTTGGGGAAGGAAAGGGGAGGTTGAAGGGATGAGGAGGTGGGCGGAGGAGGCGGACGAGGATGAGGAGGAGGAGGATGAGCAGGTGGGAGGAGGAGGAGGAGCAGGTGGGAGGAGGAGGAGGAGGAGGAGGAGGAGGAGGAGGAAGAGGAAAGGTGGCGGGTAACACGTCCTCGCGCACCTATAGAGCCCAAGGCGGGCGGTCTTCCTCTGCGCTGCTGCTGCCGCTGCTGGTGCAGTACGCTCTTCTGCGCTGATGCTACAGTCGAATCGTATCATAAGGATGCGCGATGAGGATGCGAGGGCCTTGGACGCACAGTTCAAAGCCTTGCAAGCGGAGCGCGGCCAACGCAAGTGGCCAAGGATGGGCCGAGGAGGGAAAGATACAAGGTTACCCTTGGGAAGGTGGCCCATCTTTACTATGCAGGTTTGACTGTACTGGCTGCTGCCAAGTCGAAGCTCTCTAGCAAATCTCCTCTTACCTGTAAGCGACATCCATTGCCCACGCGAAAAGAGCGTACGTTCCCTGGCTGGGCGCGTCGCCCGGAGGGTCCTTGCGGTCTGCCCAGCGTGGCTGCATTGCCCCATAAAACGCATGCGCACATCTGTAAATCTGGCAACGTAGGCTGCGTGAGTCAGAGAACAGCGTTCACGGACCTTTGTTGGACATCCAGACGAAGCCTCTTACCCCGGGGGGGGGGGGGTAATGGTGTGCGGGGGGGGGGGGTAGCGGTCACAGCAAGCAACTTCTCCAATATGCTTCCTAACACTCTGCCTGGGAACATAAGGACGGCAACTGGAATGTGCTCGTCCCACAAGTGGCGCGACAACTCGCAGATCATATCCTTATCCACCCTTAAAGTTCCTGGCCCGAACGTGCGTGCTGTCTTCGCAGCGCTACTACTGTCACCATTGCGAACCTGCAAGATCCGCTTATCTGTTGACCAGCACGGCAACTCCTGCATGTAAAGAGTATGCAAGAGGCCGTATTCATATTCGGCGAGCATGCCTTGCAAGCTTACTCTGCGGCCGTTTCCTTCTCTGGAGACGCTCTGGAAAACGCTGTCAAGCACTGAAAACGCGCACTGGTCAAAAACGAGCGATGGTACTTAACTCATCCCCCGCCTGGAGACCTCTAGGGGCCCCAACAACGTCAAATAATCACCCTCCTGCCCTCCCTCCTGCCGGCCGCCTTCCAGCCTCCGGGCGTCGTGCTTTTGCTTTTCTTTTCAAAACGTGGACCCCTGGAACTTTCGACCCCTTCCCTCTTCTTCTTCTTCTTCTTCCTCCTTCTTCTCCTTCTCCTTCTCCTCCTCCTCCTCCTCCTCCTCCTCATCATGCTGCTCCTGTGTGTGGCGTTCTTTCCTCTTCGAGGCCCGAGAAGAAGAACTTTCTTTTCAAAACGTGGGACTTCTCTTCTTCTTCTTCTTCTTCTCGAGCTGCCTTGTGACCGACCGGGGGCCCGGCGAGCGCCCCCCAAGGGCCAGCCATTGCCCAACACCTTCCGCCGTGACTCTTTCACGGCGCGGAGGGTTGTGGCTCCGGTTCTCTGCCCGGGCAGAACTTCCAGGGGGGGCCACGCACGCGAGGGCAGCCAGGATGCGAGACAGTTGCCCCAAATTGCGGCCCAGAGGGCCCCAATCTGCCACCCTGGCAAGCACACGTCGTTCGTTTCTAATCGTGCTCATTTCTAAGTGTGCTCGTTTCTAAGTGTTCCTGGCCCCCTAGTGGCCAGGCAGAGGCCCAGGATGAACAATTAGAAATGAAAGGATCTTGGCCCCCCAGAAAGTCAAAAAGAACTCTCGAAGAATCAGAAATTAACAATGTGTACAAGTGCACCGTTCTCTTGCTCACCTGGCTTCGCAATGGTGACCCCCGCGATGCACGAAGTTCGCGGTTCTGTTCGCGCCCTCGCCAGACCTCCTGAAGAATGGTACGCTTTCTGGCTCGGGCCGTGACGGACGAAGCGCGGTGAGCTTCGCGCCATCCCATGTTGACTTCCCTCCCCCAAAAATGCATGTCGGCCACTGGGCAAACGCCAATACGTGTCCGGCCCTGGACTTCTTTCTTCTGGTCCCGCCAGTGCGCGGTTAGAGCTCAGCTGCGCCGAGAGTGGCCCTATGCAAGAGTGACCTGTGGTGCCTGGCTTTAGGGGTGTCAGGGAGGGGCCAACATAAGCGCACTGGCCGCGGCTATCGCATCGCATTCATCGATCGGGGGACCTCAGTGGGCCCACACCAGTGACCACGCTGGCGAATGGCCTCCCTCACGAGTAGCGATCCAAGCATCCCAAGAACGCTCCCAGCGAGGCGCGGCAGCTGGAAAAGGCATCGTAGGGGCTGGAAGCCCGCCGAGAGCCGAATCAAGCCGCGCCCGAAACAATTTTTTTTCGCGCGTACGATTTGTTAACACCATCTGTCCGCACTAGAGCCCATGATACAGAGGCGGGGGCACGCAACGAAAATGTCACGAATTACGAGCCGCGCCCGAAACCTTCGCTCCTTGCAGGGCCCCCAGGGGTCAACACGCGACCTCCAGACCATCGAGGGT